ATACAAATTCTATATTACATACAAGAGGGGAAAAAGGTGGCTGAAGACAGACGCGGCCGAGGCGCCGGCCCTGCCCCGGGGGGGGGTCTGGGGGGGCCACGCGCTGCCCTGCGGCAGGGCCTTCTCCGCCCCGGGATCCTTCGGCGGCGCCGCGTTGGGTTGGGATTTCTCTTCCGGAAGAAGCAAGTGGCGGGTGGGCGAGGGCCGGCCCGGCCTCAGTTGGCGCCCCAGCTGTAGCTGTTGTAGGCAGATTTGTTGGCCTGGGATTTCTGGGGGATGGAGCTGCCTTGGCTGCGCTGCCCGGAGCCGCTCTGCGGGAAGGGGAACGGGGAGGGGGGGAGAAGGAGAAGCAGGGAGGGGGGCAAAGTTATGGCGGGGCAACGGGTGCCGTCGTTTCTGGGGTGGTCCTGACCCTTGGCTTGCTCCGCAGGGCGATGCTGGTCCCCGCAGGATGGCTCCTCGGCGCTCGCTGACCCGTCTCTGCCCAGCGCCACCTTCCTGGGGCCACCAGCACCAGGGTACGGGCCACCCTGCACCCAGTAGCCAGCTGGTGGCCCCTCAGCACCCTCCCCTCCGCTCTGCGCCTTCCTCCAGACCGGCACCGTAGGCAACGGGGGGGTCCAGGCGGCGCTGGGGGGGCTGCCACGCGTCAGGGAGAGGGGAAAAGGGGTCGAGCAGGGGGTGTGTGTCTGTGCCCGCGGGTGTGTGTGTGTGACAAACTGCCTGAGGGCCTCTCTCCTCGCCTGGCAGGGGGAGAAGGAAGGGGCTACGTGGACCCTGGGGGGGCCTTAGGGGCGGGGGGAGACCCCAGGGCAAGTGCAATGCATTATCAGAGAGGTTCATTACCTGGTCTTCCTGCTGGCGTTGGCAGCACAGTATCATCTGCAAATATGGAAGCTGTTGCAGTACCAGGATATGTAAAATAAAGGGACAAACTATGACAATAGAAATCCACGGTTAGACCTGCAAGCTATGGCGGGGGGGGGGGCGTCACCCCGTCGCTGCTGGCCTGCCAGGACGGGGGAGGTCGGGGTGTCCCCTGCCTTGGCTGCGCTGCCCGGAGCCGCTCTGCGGGAAGGGGAACGGGGAGGGGGGGAGAAGGAGAAGCAGGGAGGGGGGCAAAGTTATGGTGGGGCAACGGGTGCCGTCGTTTCTGGGGTGGTCCTGACCCTTGGCTTGCTCCGCAGGGCGATGCTGGTCCCCGCAGGATGGCTCCTCGGCGCTCGCTGACCCGTCTCTGCCCAGCGCCACCTTCCTGGGGCCACCAGCACCAGGGTACGGGCCACCCTGCACCCAGTAGCCAGCTGGTGGCCCCTCAGCACCCTCCCCTCCGCTCTGCGCCTTCCTCCAGACCGGCACCGTAGGCAACGGGGGGGTCCAGGCGGCGCTGGGGGGGCTGCCACGCGTCAGGGAGAGGGGAAAAGGGGTCGAGCAGGGGGTGTGTGTCTGTGCCCGCGGGTGTGTGTGTGTGACAAACTGCCTGAGGGCCTCTCTCCTCGCCTGGCAGGGGGAGAAGGAAGGGGCTACGTGGACCCTGGGGGGGCCTTAGGGGCGGGGGGAGACCCCAGGGCAAGTGCAATGCATTATCAGAGAGGTTCATTACCTGGTCTTCCTGCTGGCGTTGGCAGCACAGTATCATCTGCAAATATGGAAGCTGTTGCAGTACCAGGATATGTAAAATAAAGGGACAAACTATGACAATAGAAATCCACGGTTAGACCTGCAAGCTATGGCGGGGGTGGTGGCGTCACCCCGTCGCTGCTGGCCTGCCAGGACGGGGGAGGTCGGGGTGTCCCCAGGCGTGTCTGCGAGAAGGGGCCCTGCCTGGTGCCGCCCGGCAGCGCGGGGGGCCGTGCCGAGTACCCCCCAGCACCCCGAGCCTTCCTCACCTCTTCCTCTTTATCGGCCCTGTGTGTTATGTGCAGGTGTGAGCGTGTGCGTGTCACCGCGTGTGTCCGCGTGAGGGAGGGAGGGAGAAGGGGGGGACAGGGAGCCAGAGCCCTAGGAGATACCCCAGCGAGGGCTGGGGGGGGACCAGGGGGGTGTCTTACCTGCCCGTCCTGCTGCAGGTGGTGGTGGAGGATCTGCGAATGCGGCTGCTGATGCGGGGTCAGGATGTGCATGAAGGGGGTGGGGGGATATGCCGCCGCCGTGGCGGGGTTGATGGGGCCCCCGCTGCCCAGCGCCGAAGGCAGGTTGAAGGAGGCTGCCGGGGTTCCAGTGTGAAATCCCTGCTTCTCGAAGGATTGCTGAGGAGGAGAGGAGAACAGCGGGGTGAGGGCTGGGAGCCTCCCTGCCCGGCAGCACATCCCCTCCCCACTCTACAAGTCACAAGCCCCGGAGTCAGCGCCTGGTGCAGAGAACAGCCAAGAGTCTCTGTCTTCACCTCTTTCTGGGCTTGGAATTGCTCTAAGTTTGGAAAGGCCGAGCATTTTCTTTCTGCTCCAAGGGGGAAGAGACCTCCTTGTCCTGGGGGGCTGTCTCAGAGCTGGACTTCTGCACCCCCAGCAAAGCAGAGCCTCCCTGGGACACCCCGGATGCTCACCTGAGTTTTGGAGTAGACAGAGCCCGAGATGTCCGGCACTCCCGTGTTACTGGATGTCACGGATACACCTGGGGAGAAGGAGAGGCAAGTGAGCGTGGGGCAGCAGCCGTGGGTTCAGCGCCGCTGACGCCGGCATCAGGTTGGGAAGAGCTTTGGTGGCCCCGCAGCCAGGGAAGGTCTGGAGCCAGACACCGTCCAAAGGGAGCAGGGGTTTGGCAAAGCCAAGCTGCAAAGTGCCCGGAGGATGCAAGTTCTTTTGCTCTGGCCACCAGCAGTTTTTAAATGCCTCCAGAAAAAAAAACCATTTAGGGGCCTGCTGCCAGCCAGAGACATGAACGTTATTGACAAGCCCAGAAAATAGTGATTCTGAGAAGAGCTGGGGGGGATGCAGCAGACAAGGGGGAGACCTAATAGCGTCCTTCCAGTACCTGAAGGGAGCCTACAGGAAGGCTGGAGAGAACCTGTTTAGAAAGGCCTGTAGTGACAGGATGAGGGGCAATGGCTTCAAGCTGGAGGGGAACAGATTTAGACTGGAGATGAGGAGAGGGTTCTTCACTGTGAGGCTGGTGGAGCACTGGAACAGGTTGCCCAGGGAGGTGGTTGAGGCCCCATCCCTGGAGATATTCAAGGAGAGGCTTGACGAGGCCCCGGGCAACCTGGTCTGGTTGGGGATGTCCCTGCTGACTGTGGGGAGGTGGGACTAGACGACTTTTGGAGGTCTCTTCCGGCCTGGAAAATTCTATGATTTTATGATTCTATGAAACTCCCAGCACAAAACGGTAGCCAGGATGGCCCGAGGGCTCCTCGGATGTAAAACAAGCAGCCACACGGAAAGGTGTGGGCTGGAGAACCCGCAACGCTGGCAAAGAACCTGCATTAGAGGCTGGTTGTTTCTGAAACAGGCGGGACAGAGGAAACCTCAGCGATCAATTCAGGCCCAGAAAAAGCACTGAAATCAAAGAAGTTTGAAAGATTTAGGTGGCCTGCTCCAGGGCTGAGTGTCTTCGCAAAGAGAAAACAGTGTCTTGAAGGGCTCTAATGTAGGGAAAAAAGGCACAACGGGAATGTAAAGGCTGAAGAGGGACCCAAAGGCAGGCTCTCTGTAAGTCAGGCAGACGTTGACCAGTGAAACCCAGTAGTGAGACAAGTAGCACGTTCACAACCTTCTTGCATCTTAGAATCAAGGACACTCCTCTAGAAAGCACGCGAATCAAACAAGTTCCTGGACTCAAATCTGGAATAATTATTGTTCTACTCATCACATACAGGCAGCAAAAACCCCCCCACAGTTTGGCAGCTTTAGCCCTCTGATGTGAGCCCAGGGTCCTGACCACACAAGGGCTGTGCACCGAGGAGGGCGTGAAGTGCCCCACACCCCTCAAACCTGCTCCAGGCCTGGATCAAACCTGGGTCTTTCCAAAGAGAATTAAAGGATCTGCGAGCGGCACCGCAGCCATTTTCCTCCCTTACTGCTGGAGACTGTGCACAAACCCTGCTGCTGCCAGTGACCGCCGCGGGGGAAGATGCTGCCAGGTCTCTTACCGGTGCTGTATCCGTGGGAGCCGTAGCCGCTGGGCTGCTGAAAAGGGGTCGCTGATGCGTTGACGCTGACATTCACACCGTGCTGCTTGGAAGAGGTAGGAGCAACCTACAGCAA